ATATATATTTACGTGAGTGTACTGTATACACGCAGGCAAAGAATGTACCATATGTTCAACTGTTAATATATCACTGGGCTATATTATAGTTTACATTTTTCGATAATATAAACAAATTACAGCAGTTGAGATTTGCTATATAGTACATACTGTTTAATGTGAGTGTATTTTATGTATCTGGGTTGACAAAGTCATGTGATTTTCTCTCACTCTTAGTATCTGGCCCCTGAGATCCTACGGAAAGAACCATATGACCGCACTGTGGACTGGTGGTGTCTCGGAGCTGTGCTCCATGAGATGCTTTACAGCTTAGTAAGTTCACCCATTCACTGGATATATTTTAATCTTCTTGGCCCAAACTTAATGGAACATAATCACATTTAATTTGGGATGACTGTGCCACACAGCCTCCGTTCTACAGCCGGGACGTGTTTGAGATGTACGACGCGATCCTGCATAAACCTCTGCAGCTGGCGCCGGGGAAGTCGGAGGCCTCATGTCACCTGCTCTACGGACTCCTGCAGAAAGACCAGCGTCGCCGGATAGGAGCCATTTAATCAGTTATCATTAACCTTTAACCCTTTTCTTTATTTAAAGGGCTGAAATGTGAGGTTTACCATTTTATGAAACTCTTTCAAAGCTTTATTTGAATATTTCGTACATGCTATTCTGTCATGTTGTCCTTTAAAATCCAGATATCTTTGGTAATGCTATAGTTTTAGTGTTTACGCAACAAAAAGTAATTTAATTTATTGTTTGTTGATTTTAAATACAAAACTTGTTGAAACGATTTATGTGTCAGTACTTTTTGAACATTTCCACTCCAGGGTCACATATTGTACATACTGCTTAATGCGAGTGTATTGCATTTTCCAGGTTGACAAAGTGATTTTCTCTCACTCTTAGTATCTGGCTCCTGAGATCCTACGGAAAGAGCCGTATGACCGCACTGTGGACTGGTGGTGTCTCGGAGCTGTGCTCTATGAGATGCTTTACAGCTTAGTAAGTTCACATATTCACTGGATATATTTTAATCTTCTTGGCCCAAACGCAATGGATTATAATCACACTTCATTTGGGATGACTGTGGCACACAGCCTCCGTTCTATAGCCGGGACGTGTCTGAGATGTACGACGCGATCCTGCATAAACCTCTGCAGCTGGCGCCGGGGAAGTCGGAGGCCTCGAGTCACCTGCTGTACGGACTCCTGCAGAAAGACCAGCGTCGCCGGATAGGAGCCATTGCTGATTTTGTGAGTGACCCTCTGGAGGTCTTTGTCATTGTGAAACCAGGCGTCGGCGTCACTGTTAATGTGTCAACTGTTCTGGTTTTGCAGTTGGAGATTAAAAATCATGTGTTCTTTGCCCCCATTAACTGGGACGACCTCTACCACAAGCGAATCACTCCTCCATATAACCCAAATGTGGTAGGTTACTACAAACTCCCTTGGTGATCAGTGTTTGGGGTAATGCATTACAAGTAATGCGAGTTATGTAATCAGATTGCTTTTTTTAAGTAACTAGTAAAGTAACGCATGATTTTTAAAAACATTTTGATATAACTAGAGAAAAACAATGTACATTTCTGTAATGTAAATAATTATAAAAATTTTATAGTAATATAATATAATAATAATAGTAATAATAAACAGAACATCAAATTGAAAAGTAAAACTTATCCAATATAACGAAAACAAACTTAAATACAAAATTCCATATTAACTACATAATAAATAAAATCATATTACCATATTGATTAATTATATATTTTAACAACAATTTAAAAACTAATATATATATATATACACACACACATATATATTAGTGCTGTTAAACGATTAATCGCATCCAAAATAAAAGTTTTTGTTTACATAATATATATGTGTGTATATTTATTATGTATATATAAATACACATACGTGCATGTATATATTTAAGAAAAATATGTTACATTCATATATTAAATATATTTATATATAATATAAATTATTATTTGATATTTTGGCCATCATGTGTTTTTGCATTCCAAAATCTTTCTGAAAGAATTCAATTATCTTTAACGTAAACATAGTTTGTCCTGAGTCGCTCAGATTTCACTCTATATATCCTTGTGTTTTGATACAGACGGAGCTCTTAACATTGTTTTACCATCTTAAATTTCATTGGATAATTTCTGCAGCATTACCTCCCTCTTCTGAAAGTAATTCCTCATGTGTTGGGGGTAACGCATTACAAGTAACGCGAGTTATGTAATCAGATTACTTTTTTTAAGTAACTAGTAAAGTAACTCATTACTTTTTAATTTAGAAGGAAATATCTGAGTTACTTTTTCAAATAAGTAACGCCAATTACTTTGTTTCTCATGTATTGAGTGACAGTTCTGGTGTTGCCATGGCGACAGAAATCAGGAGTAAGTGTAGAGCGTTGTGATGTTACTGTAGATCTAGACTAAATATGAACATGTATTTACTCATGTCACTTGCACAAAAACAGATTCAGTATTCCTCAAAATGAATAAAGACAGTGCAATGCAAACATAGAATATCATACAAACGTGCAATACTCAAATTTTAAATAAGACAAATATCATTTATGTATTTAAAATATATAAAATAAACATTCTTCGTAAATATTATTCGCAATGGTTAGGCGGAAATTCGTGTGTGGGACGAATACATTTCTAAGCTTAATTTTACTGCTTTATGAATATAAAAACCAAAAGGAATGGTATTCTTTGTAAAGAAGACACTCCAAGCTTTCAAATGAACCCATATATGGGCTGATACCATATAAGGAAGGTTATGTAAGTGAAGCATAAACATTTTTAACGTCATTTTGGACCCGTATCCGGGTCCGCAGAGTTTAACTGTTTCCCATTTTATTAACCAATGTCTTTGCTACTGACCTTCGAGGAACCAATTCAACCATACTAAGCAAAAATCACACATTTGTGTTTCATTTTTGTTATTGCTGAATAGTGTTGAACTTTCTTCTCCTGCGTCATATTCTTCATGCGATTTGAGAGGCGCCCTCTACTGTACAGACGTGAATTTACATTTCCTTCAGCCTGAGGCGGATTCATTTCACTTTTGGTGTGAAAGGGCTTTTACATTTGTAAAAGAAGAACGTTTTATATAAAAAATAAACAAGCAAACCCTGTCAAGTTTTAAAAAGTAACTCAAAAGTAACGTAACGCATTACTTTCCATAAAAAGTAACTAAGTAACATAATTAGTTACTTTTTTAGGGAGTAACGCAATATTGTAATGCATTACATTTAAAAGTAACTTTCCCCAACACTGTTGGTGATTATTAGGAAGCAAATACAGATTATTACTGTCTGCACCTCTTTACTGCATGCACACATTCATTTCTGCTCCATCTGACAGTGTTAGACTGAAAGCGATGTGTGTAATAAGAGTTCTGCCGTGTTTCTCCAGAGAGGCCCAGCAGACCTTCAGCACATTGACCCAGAGTTCACCAGAGAGATGGTGCCCAACTCTGTGGGCCGCACTCCAGATCTCACCCCCAGCCTCGCCACCAGCAGCTCCAACGCCTTCAACGGCTTGTCATGCATCTCTGGAGAAGACGGCTTCCTCTGAGGCGCCGGTCGACGAAGGCTTCTCTCACCGTCAGCATAATTAGTTACTTTTTTAGGGAGTAACGCAATATTGTAATGCATTACATTTAAAAGTAACTTTCCCCAGCACTGTTGGTGATTATTAGGAAGCAAATACAGATTATTACTGTATGCACCTCTTTACTGCATGCACACATTCATTTCTGCTCCATCTGACAGTGTTAGACTGAAAGCGATGTGTGTAATAAGAGTTCTGCCGTGTTTCTCCAGAGAGGCCCAGCAGACCTTCAGCACATTGACCCAGAGTTCACCAGAGAGATGGTGCCCAACTCTGTGGGCCGCACTCCAGATCTCACCCCCAGCCTCGCCACCAGCAGCTCCAACGCCTTCAACGGCTTGTCATGCATCTCTGGAGAAGACGGCTTCCTCTGAGGCGCCGGCCGACGAAGGCTTCTCTCACCGTCAGGTCACTGAGCGCTGGAAAAACACTGGACTGTAATGAGGGCCAACGCACCTGTCGGATGACGGGTTTTAAGATGTTGTGCTCATTTTGCATTCATCATAAGATATCTCATCAGTATGCACTCATGTTCGCTGTGTAAGACTAAAGGACATTGCGGGAGATGGATTTGCTGATTGCACCACTGGCAAAGCAGCCATAGTTGCAAAATCTGTAAAAGTCTAGATTTCTGCTCTTGCTCGTCTTTTGGGGATCGTGGATCTGCGTGCCTTACTCTTGGCAACATCCTCATCTAACGTTCTTCATCTGATTACTGAAAAGCATGGAAAATTACACCTTTGCTTTGTAACGTTTTGTGCAAAACGTCCTGTAAGAGCATTTCTTCTGGTATTAAAAATGTCAAAATCAAATCTATTTTATGTAAGATCCGTAAATGTGAAGATAATCTGACTGTGCTTTATGAAATCATGTATTAATGCTCAGAAAGTGTTCAGATATGTGAAAAGCCATTGATATATGTATATCTGTATATGTACAGATATACTGCTCATAACGTTACATGTTTTTGTTGAAGGTGTTGTAAAATCGTGCTAAAGTTTCCCTTAATCTGTGTGATATGTCAGAATTCACCTCGGAAAAAAATGTGCTGAGATTTCACTTCATTTTCCTCTGATGTGGCACTTTTTGTTTCCATATGACAAAGCAGCAATGAATTCATGCAAAACATTACATTCACACACTGCTCATTCATTTTGACTTCACCAGTAATCAGAGCATCTCCATCTGTTTTAGTAGTAACATTTATAACATTAATGTTAACTTCCATTAAATAAACATAAAAAACGAACCATTTCATGATTTTATAATGAACCATTCACAAGACATGTAGACTCCCATGTAAAATCCCAGGTTGACTTTATGATTACTAGAAATTGTTTTTAGATAAATTATAATTAGTTTTGCCCCTTAAGCAAAAGGTTAAACTTGCTCATTTTAGTCTCATCAGTTGACTGCAGATAAGCTAATTTGGTGACAAAAAAAAAGAAAAAATCAGCACATTCTAGAGTAGAATTAAATTCACATGACATTTTTAAACTCGTGTTCAAATGAGCTAAATTTGTACAGAGCTTTTAGAGCTTCTTTGTATATCACATTGAGCACTGGCCCGTATGAGGTCAAATGCACATCATGAGGACATTATGAGTGTTTTAGGAATAGATTCACTCTGGTCATTTATGGCCTACAGTTTTGGAGCTCAAAGACTGTGTGTATATTGTTCAAAATGTAATCTAAAAATGGACCACACTGACTTTCCAGGCATTTTCTGTAGAGTTAGTGTACTATGTGGGAGGTGCAATGGAAGAGAAGCAGTCTTTGTCTCTCTGGACAGAGTCCTGAACAGACTGCCGTAAATTCACTCTGGCTGATTGTAGAAATTCTCTATTTGCAAGATGAATTTATGCAAGTGTGTGCTTTCCGCACTGTACACTAACTCTGGAAAAAGTCTGGAAAATTTCTGAGATAATGTAGATTTGTTAAAGTTTCTCCTTGTTTTCAGGCATTTAAAAATTATTTTAGAATTTTATTTCAATCCCTAAAACAATTAAAAACGAGTGCATTGAAACTCTCCAAACTACTATTTGTCTTATGATTTGCTTTACATGTTTTGGTATTATTTTCTTTTAATTCATTTATTTTACTTTGTTGTTGTTGTTCTTGTGTTTATGATATGCTGCTTGGATTTATTGCTGGTGTGTTTAATAACTGAAAGATGACAATGCCTGTTTGTTATTTGAAAGGTTTAATAAAGCTAAGAACACATTTGACTTAAATTATATAAATGTATATAATTTTACACACACACACACACACACACACATATATATAGGTAGGTAGTAATCTAGAATCACACTTATACTGA